GAAGACTCCCCCCCCCACCCCGGCCAGGCAATCAGAGTTAAATGACTTGCCCAGGGTCACACAGTTAGTGTCGAGTGTCTGAGACCATAAGGTGCTCTATCTACTTTGCCACCTAGCTGCCCACCCCCACCCCCTCTTTTAAATTTTAAGTCTTTAAGCTTTAATGGTACTTGGTTGGTTTTACATTTCACAATGCATTTCATAGACTTAGTTCAGGTACAGCTTAAACAGCAATTGAATAAATCCTAATTTGTAATTTCTGCATAACAATGCTTGATATTTCCAAACAACATTTTTTTTTCAGCATTAGATTCAGTCCATAAATCCCAAGTGTGTGATGAAATTAACTATAGTAGGTTTGAGCAATGAAGTGTATGTTGTAGACTCTCTATGGTCATGGGATTGTGTTTTATGTTGAAAATGGATGGTAGTATTCCTAGAAATATAGTTTCTTTTTCTAGCTTATGTTATTTTCAGCTACTTATAGAACCATCAACTCTTAAATATCAAACACTGTGGGATAGCTGAAAGGTCTAAGCTTTGTGAAACACACTCCCTCTCTGTCTCTCCATATATATATGTATGTATGTATGTATGTATTGGCAATTAATAAAACAGTAAAATTATAATACAGCTAGGCCCGCACCAAGAAGTCAAACTTGTTCCTTCTTGCTTTAGTGGTATGATCTCTTCTAAACATTTTTTACCCCGATTTTTGGTGAGTCAATCAGGGCTAAATGACTTGCCCAGGGTCACACAGCTAGTAAATGTCAAGTGTCTGAGGGTGGATGTGAACTCAGGTCCTCCTAACTCCAAGGCTGGAGCTTTACCCACTGTGCCACCTAGATGACTCTAAACATTTTATTTTAGAAAATCTGCATCATTCTACACAGATCATACACAGGGCACAAACTGTGAAAGGGTTCTCCTGTCAGTTCCACCTCCTATACAGCTTCCTGAAATATAGCAAGACTACCTCCAATGTACAGCTTTCTCAGATCATTGTGTGGGAGCCTGTGCCTCACAAAAGATAAACAAAGATGATTATAGCTGAAATTCAGACATAGCAGCTTATGATACTTAAGATGATGAAACACATGGCAGTCAAAACAAATATTTTTCTTCATACACTGTATTGCTAAACAATAAAGATTTGTGAGACTGCTCTGCAATGTCAAGGCTCCATTCTCCCCAGACTCTTTCCATGGAATCCAAATGAAAATTCCCCCTGAATGATGAATTCCTAGTAGTGTTTATTGCTGATTTTACTCAGCTTTCTATTTCATTCCAGAGATTTTTGCTTGGATTTTAGTCATAGCATCTTTAACATTCTTGTTCACAAGTCCTATTCAATCTGGGTCTGATGCCCTTCATAAATAACAGGAACACTAAAGAGTGAAATCACAGTGAAATCAGTAGGGTCAGGCCATTGAACAAGGCACCAATATAGGTAAAGATGCACATAAATACTACAAACTTCAAAGAATCAACTAAATCATCAACTAAGAAGCACCTGAGTTCTTTGTGCACTTGACATGACCAAGCAGAGAACTGCTGCACTTCTGAACCAACTCCCCAGATACTGCACCTTCAGAATCCATGTAGGCGCCTAAAGGGTGACCTTCATCAGATTTCTGAATTGCCTGGATCACTCCATTGTACACCCTGAAGCTGATGGTTACAGAAATCAGGGCCAGGACAATGTATGCTGTCCCACTCATACTGCTGAATACTGACACGAAAGTAGCAGGAACAAGGTGGCACCAAATACCACTTCTGTCTTCTTAATGTCTTGCTAATAAAGAAGGTCAACAACAGCAGAGCCCGAGGATCCTCTGCTCTTGGGCCAGAGTGGAGGAGGACGCAGCAGGGGCCGGGATGCTCGGGGTCCAGGCAGGGGGCGCAGTCGCGGGGCGGGAAGGGGGCTTGTATTCCTCCAGGGATGTGGCAGCGGCGGCAGAGGGCGGAGGGGACTGTGAGGACGGGAGCACCGGGCTGGGCTTCCAGCGGGGCTGCCGCTCCTCGGCTGCGGGGGGGCCCGCGTCACCAACTAGCTCTCGATATGCAAGAGTGAGGCGGCTTTGGCCCGCAGCGGTGCCTCAGTCATTCTGGCGGCCGACTTCCTCTCCAGCACCTCCTGCTCCTGCAGAAATTCTTCATATTGGCACTAACCTCTTTCATGCAGTATAAGTGACCATTACTCTATTAAAGGATTTATGTACTGCCCTCTTCTCCTGTCTTCCTTATCTCCCTTCCTCATTTACTTTCCTCTAGGCCTTTTTTGCTGTAGTAGGTGCTACTGATCCAAAGCTAAGTAATCTTCCCTTTCCCAAAAGAAAACCCTTTTAAAACTTCCTTTTCTCCCTTTCTGCCCTGACCCTCCCTATTTTACAGTTGATTCCTCCCATCTTCAATGCCCCCTTCCTACTCCCCCTCCAAAAGCCACCATGGGCCCCAACCAAGGTCCTGCACCTCCTGTTCCTGCACTGTCTCCTTTGTTTCTACCTGTGTACCCATGCTCCTAGCTGTCTGGTATTTACCCATTAGGTTTTATGACTCTTAATATTCTTTTTCTGCTTGGTCCTATGGGGCTAGTGCCAGACAAACCTATCATTCAGGGCCTTTAAGCCTGATAACTGGAATTCTTGCCATTGGGTTTATTTCTTTTAACTCTTGGGGCTAGTGCCAGACAAACCTATCATTCAGAGCCTTTAAGCCTGATAACTGGAATTCTTGCCATTGGGTTTATTTCTTTTAACTCTTGGGGCTAGTGCCAGACAAACCTATCATTCAGGGTCTTTAAGCCTGATAACTGGAATTCTTGCCATTGGGTTTATTTCTTTTAACTCTATGTACTATCCTCCAGCATTTTGGGGGTGGAGAGGGGGAATAGAAGAGGAAAATAGCAAATTGTTTCTCTCCTTTTTACCTGTGTAGACAGTCTCTGTTTATTTCCAATTTTTTTTTAGGCAGTTGGGGTTAAGTGACTTGCCCAGGGTCTCACAGCTAGTGAGTGTTAAGTGTTTGGTCTGAGGCCACATTTGAACTCAGGTCCTCCTGACTTCAGGGCTGGTGTTCTATCCACTGCGACACCTAGCTGCCCCTGACAGTCTCTATTTGTGTGTGTGTGTTCTACCATTCCTTCTGCAGTGTGGGGACTCAGCCTCTGGCCTAAATGCTTCACAGCCCCTCCTCACAGCCTATAATCCATTTTACAGATGCATTTTCCCCCAGTAACCCACAGGTTCCTTTTGGTGTCCCTGAACCCCTTCAGAGTATTATAGTCAAGAGGAATGATTCTTCTATCAGTCATGAGGAGGTACATACACTAACTTTCTTGGGCCTCAGTTTCCTCATCTGTGAAACGGAGGGGGGGGTGTGTGCTAGATCACCTCTGTGTTCCCTTCAGCTCTAGTTATATGATTTGACTAGAGTAAAGCTGGACATTCTGATCTCACTTTAATCATGGCATAACTCAACATTTCCCAAACCCAGGTTTCTGTGCCATAGTTTCCTCTGTCCCACCTAGGCAACATCCTGTACCTTGCCTTTCTGGGGAAGGTTTGGAAAGGGATAAAGACAATGGATGTGGATGCAGGGCAAGCACTTTATGGGAAAGGTAATGCTGGTGGGCTTACTTCAGTAGGCTCCCCAACAGCCAGGCCAGAGAGTGTAGGAGTTCTGGGGTGGAATGGGAGAGGTCAGGGTAAGTTAGGGTTGAAGTCGGGCAGATAGAGGTCCTTAGGCCCCAGAGCCAGGGAGGCGAAAATAAAGGCCGAATTAACCGAGTTCAGAAAGGAGGTAGGGATGCGGGGGACAGTTATGATAGGGGAGAGGGCTGGGGCTGCGGCGGGGCAGTTGAGCCTTGACCCTGCCCCTGGGGGAACAGTCATGGGGCGGGACAAAGCAAGGGGGCCGGGTCAGCTAGCTTTTGCCTTGGGGGTCGGGGGCGGGCCGAGCCGGCGGTACATTTAAATCCGGCTCTGCAGCCTCCGTCAGGTAAACTTTCCCAGCTTTCCGGCACCTACTTCTTCCATTTTAGGGTAGTAGCCAGTCCCCTTATCTGAGCACCATGCGGAGCTCCCTAGCTCCCGGCATCTGGTTCCTCCGCGCCTTCTCCAGAGACAACTGGTGAGTAAGGATTTTGGGGAGGAGATGGGGGCCGGTCCGCGGGGCCTGGCAACTTTGAGTCTGCAAACGTCGGGTGTCTCCAGGCGTGACATCCCCTGGCTCGAGAATCTTTGGAGATCTAGCCTTTCATGGTCATTTGATAGATATCAAGGCCGGCTGTCCCAGTAAGACAGCGCGGGTCCGCGGCCAGTCAGAGTCCCAGCCTTGGAATTGCTGGGATGGGACGTGGGTATAGCGCGCTCTGGGAGCGGGTAGTGAAAACCCTCGGAGTGAGGGTGATGGTAATCTAGGCACCCTTCTGCTTGAAGATTTCGAAGCACCTAGGCTACTATTTTTGACTCACAACCTAGGGAAACTCAGGGTGTAATGGAAATGCTTGAGAGGGCTCGCTGGAGTTCTGCTTGGCTAGTTCTTTGATGTCTCTCTTGGCCTATGATTGAATAAAAGTGGCTAATGTGGGAGGAGAGGTGAGGCAGAGGTTATGAGGGTTGATGGAGATGTGATGTGAATTGACTGGCCTCGGAGCCTAGTTTATTTTTTATTAGAAAACAGGAACATGCCAACAAAGCACAGATTTATCACCCGGTTATGTAGCTCCTGCTTCTCTACTTGGCCCTCACCAACTAATTGCCAGTATTTGGGTAATTCAACTTATTTGGCTCCTCTAGCCACGGGGGAGGGGGGGGGTTGGGGAATGGGAAGGACAAACCTCTTTTCCGAAAAAAATCTATCGTCCACTTTATGGAGCACCAGAAGCTGGCGAAGCAACAGCAGCTTACGTTTATATAGTGCTTTAAGGTTTACAGAGTGCTTTCTTCAAAACAACTTTATAAGGTCAATGGTATTTTATCGCTGTTTTACAGAGGGAGGAAGGTGTTCAGAGAATGACGTGTTCAAGATCACACAGGTAGCAAAGATGTGAATTTTGGCTCAGGACTCCTGACTCCAAAGTTCAGCACCTTTCTTTGTTGTTCAATCATTTTTAGTGGTGTCTGACTCTTCCTGACCCAATTTGGAATTTCCTTGGCAAAGGTACTGGAGTAGTTTGCCATTTCTTTCTCCAGCTCTTTTCACCAATGAGGAAGCTGAGGCAAACAGGGTGAAGTGATTTGCCCAGGGTCACACAGCTAGTAAGTGTCTGAGGCCAGATTTGAATTCAAGAAGATGAGTCTTCCTGACTCCAGGCTGGGCACTATCCATTGCCCCATCTAGCTGTTCAGCACCTTTCCACTACCCCACATTTGCCTCTCAGGGAAGTAATAGGGCAAGATGTTCAACTAGATTTTCTTGCCAACACATGTGCACATACTGCTATCTTTGGAGGACCCCTAGTCTTCCAGTTTTTTTCAGTCAGACCAATTGAATATATCTTCACCTCAGGAAGCTCCTCAGGGTTAGTCAGTCTTCAGCTGGTCGAAACGAATTGGTCAAATTTCAGAGAAGGATTTATACTCACCGGGAGTCAAAGAGATAGGTAGAGCTAGGGTCTACTAGCTGGCAAGGTAGGGAGACACCTTTAGGGTACACCATGGATGAATGCACGTATTTTATTTGCCTTATAAAGCTCCTAGGTATTTATTTCCTGATATTAAGTTCCATCTGTTACAGGGAAAGGTCAATACCTCCAGCAGACGGATTCAGTTTTCAAGGTTTGCTAGGGTGCACAAATCTGGGAACAGTCCCATAAGCCTAGCTAGACAGGTAAAATAAATCCTGGACCCTGCTTTGGGGAAGGTTTACAAATTAGAAAGAAGCAGATACAGTTCTAGAATTAAATGTTATTTGAATTGAGGCCTGACTTTGGTCTCAGGTATACCTAGCCCCTTTCAAAACAGCAGTCAATAGGGTTTGGGAACTTGGGTGTGGTGACCCTGGAAGTCTGGAATTGCTATCTCAATCTTTCCTTCTGTCTTGACCCCGGGAGTCTTTTGGAGGATAAAACCTACAACTTCAAAAACACTATAGAGGAAGGTGCAATTTTGTTTGTTGTTTGGTTTTTTCATCCCCTGGACCAGGATGACCCAAAGGAACCCTGGCAGCATAATCTGGAGATCAGGGAAAGTCACCTACACATACTGTTTCTGTGTGATCATTGGGAGTGAATTGCAGGTTATTCTACCTCCTTTTGTCCCTGGAAAGAACCTGGGGACAATCTCTGTTTAATAGGGGGAGCTTGGCCTTTGTTGAGCTTTGTGTAAACACAAATCTAGGTCACCTTGATTATTGGCAGATCAGGTTATATCTCTCTGATCAACTCTGAAATCCAGTGCAGTGAGGCAGGACTTCCAAACCAATAGCAAAGTTATCTTAAACTGAGTGAGTGCCCTGCTGGTCCTAAGTCAGCTTAGTCCTTTTCTTCTTCCTTGTCTTGGGTATAATGCTGAAGAAGGGAGTTGATAGGACAGTCAGTCCACTAGATTCACTGATGGACATATCCAGACCTTTGAAGGAACAGATAATCTGTAATGGAGAAGATTTAGGGTAGAAGAAGAAAAGGAAGGATTTTCTCATAGGATTCTTAAAGGTTGTTTTGTAGGATTTCTCTCTGGAGAGCTTTAGGTATCACAAAGATTTTCACATGATTGGGCTAGGTGGCAAAAGGGTATATTAAACTCTGAGGAGTAACAGAATAGAATCAAGCTACAAATATTTAATGCTGCCTGTGACTATAGACAGGACAGAACTGAGGCTGTGGGAGATGCAAGAGATAAACACAGTCCCTGTCATCCACACACACCCCAAAAGATAAAAATATGAGGTAATTCTGTATCATGCCAGATAAGTGGTATCATAAAAACCCAAAGGGAACGTTGTGTACACCTTGTCCTAGCTGAAATGTCATAACACTTTTGTGATAATGCAATACATAGTTATTACTCTCAATTTAAGGAAACTGAGATTTAGCTACTTTAGCTACAGAGTCATTGCCACCAAATCCAGAACTCATTCTTATGATGCCCTCTCATAGTAAAGGTTATGGTGTATGGATTGTAAGGCTGAAAGAAGAAATGAAGCCTGAAATGAGGCAAGAGTTTAGCTTATTGCTAAGACCTTATTGAGACCTTATTGCTAAGCTTGTTTCTTTTCTTTGCACATAGTAAGGGAGTGATAAAAGCTTTTTTAAAAAATGAACTTTTATGGATTTTTTTTTATTCCCAGCAGCCTTCCCTCTGCTAAACTCCCAAAGTGCTATCCCATATGAAAAACAATATTTTAAAGAAAAAAAAAGGGAATCAGCAAAACTGACTAATACATTAAAAAAATCTGAAAATATGTGCAAGGTACTAGAAGACCTCCCAGCTCTGCAAAGGAACTGAGTGGGGGTGGAGCCTTATTATATCTTTTTGGCATCAGGCTTGTTCTTTGTAGTTTTGTGATATTCACTTTTAGTTCTTTTGTGGTTCTTTCCATTTATATTTTTGTAGTTATTGCATATGTTGTCTTCTTGGCTCTGCTTACTTCACTTTGTATAAGATCATGTAAATCTTTTCCTATTATATTTGTTGTTTCTTGGGGGTGGTAATGCAGTGGAGAGTAGGGAATAACCAAATAACTCCCACTGAGGGCCAGGCACTGTACTCACAACCCTAAGGATACTATTATTATCATGCCATTTTACTGCTGAGTAAACTGAGGCCATGAGAAGTTAAAGGACTATTCTAGGGTTACACATGTCTGAGGAAAGATTCAAATTTAGTTCTTCCTGACTTCCTGGCTTTCAAAACTATCCATTGTGCCATCTAGCTGCCTTTAGCTGAGTATGCCCCCAAATAACTCCTGGAGGACTTAGGGGCCAGGAAAACAGGTAACCTTGGCACCACTTTACAAATATTATCTCATTTGATCCTCACAACAACTCTACCCTGTGAGATAGGTGCTGTCATTATCCCCATGTCACAGCTGAGGAAACTGAGACAGACTAAGGTTAAGAAACTTGCCCAGGATCACACTAGTAAGTGTTTGAAGTTGGATTTGACCTCAGATCTTTCTGACTCCAGACCCAGTATTCTATCCATTGTGCCACCTAGCTTCCTGCAGAAGCATGGAATAATATTCCACTACATCATGTAACACGATTTGTTTAGCCATACCCCCATCAATGATAAATCTACTTTGTTTCCAGTTCTTTCCTACCACAAAAATATTGCTATAAATATTTGGCCTGTATAGGGACTTTATTCTTATCGGTGACTTCCTTGGGGTATAAGGTAGTGGCAGAATCTCTGGGCCAAAGGGTATGGACCTTTCAATCTCTTTATTTGCATAATTCCAAATTGCTTTTCTAAACGGTTGTATTGATTCACTGCTCCATCAGTCCCTGAACTTTTGTGCCAGTCTTCCCACAACCCCCTCCAACATTGACTATTCCTGTCTTTGTCGTCTTTGCTAATTTTCTGGGTGTGAAGTAAAGCCCCAGGGTTTTGATGTGTATTTCTCTTATAGTTAGTAATTTGGAGCATTCTTTCCTATGGTTGTTAACAGTTTGCAATTCTTTTGAGAACTGTTAGTCCCTGTCTTAGACCACTAATCTACTGGGGAAAAGTGTTTAGGCTTAGTTATAATTTGTTGTCCATATATCTGGGATATCCAGCCCTTATTTGAGAAATGTGCTATGAAGGCTTCCCCCCCCCCCCTTTTCTTTTTATCTTAGGTGCTTTAAGTTTTGTGTAGAAACTTTTCAGCTCATATAATCAGTTACCTATTTTATCTTTGTCGATTTGCTATTTATCTTGGCCTTTAACCCTTGTTTGGTTAAAAATGCTTGTCCTACCCATAGCTATTTGATCTGCTTCTCTTTCTAAATTTTTTTTTATAGTATAATCTTTGAAATTTGAAATGTCATATCCATTTATAATTTATTTTGGGATACATTGTAAGGTATTGGCCTAAGCCTAATTTTTCCTAAATTGCTTTCTACTTTTTTCAATAGTTCTTTTTTTTTTTTTTATCAAGTAGGGAGTTCTTTCCTAAGCTGTTAATGTTTGCTTGTTGGTTGGTTTATTAAACACAGGGTCATTGAATTTCATTGTTTCTCATTCTTCCTTGTTTAGACTATTCTTTTATCTACTTTTTATTTTTAAGCCAATACCAAATGTTTTTCCATGATTGCTGCTTTATAATATAGTTTGAAGTCTGGAAGTGCTAGACTCTCTTTATTCTTCCCCCTTTTCATTATTTCCCTTGACAATAAATTCTTCATTCTTTTTTACTGCTCCCTGGTAAATGGCTCTGTCAGGGGCATGGGCAGGGTTGCACTGAGAAGGGAGGGAAAACTTGATTTTGGAAGAGGGCTGAAGAGCTAAAGGGAAGGTTTGGGGTTGGAAGGAACACCAGCAGCCTTGCCAGAGGTACCTGTTTTCTTGGCCCCTATGTCCTCTAGGAATTATTTGGGTGGTATACCCAGTTAGAGGCAGCTAGGTGGTACAGTGGATAATTTTGGACTTGGAGTCAGGAAAAACTAAGTTTGAATCTTGCCTCAGACTTGTGTAACCCTGGACCAGTCTCTTAACTTCTCATAGACTCAGTTTACTTAACAGTAAAATAGGCACAATAATAATAGCACCTACCTCATAGGGTTGTGATAAGATAGCATATGAAAAGCTCTTTGCAAACCTAGCTATTTAAATAGATACTAGCTATCTATCTTATCTTCATTTTATTCATTTGTTCACTCCACAAGTATTCATGGCATCTCTAATATATGCTTAAACTGTGGAGGGAGAGGGAGAGCAGAAGGTTTTAAAGAAAGGCATATGTCCTTAGTTCCGGCCTTCAAAGTTACCTTCTGGTTGGGGAAGTGACATTTACATTTAAATAACTGCTATACAAAGGAGAATGTAGTAAGTAGCACCAGGATATGTATACTATGTTGTAGGGGAACTCAGAGGAGGTAAAGACCACTTCTCT